CCTCCCTCACTTAGCATCTGAGGCTCTGTGTTGGATGAATTTGGACTCCAGTTATATCATCTCCCCAACTCCCCACTTCCCAGATAAGGAGACGAGAGCTTAGCAAGGTTAAGCTTCAAGCTCAAAGCATGGGAGGCAAGGCTCACGCTGTTTCCCAAATGAAATGCTGAACCAATGGACTACATTGACTGTTGGCCCAGAGCTGGAGGCTGTGAGGGTGGAGGGGACAGAGTTCTAACGATGTCAGGAAAGAGACTGGTGTGGACAGTGCATGGAAAATACCTTCCTCTGCTCGGGGCCTCCTGTAGCTTGCTCAGGGCATAACTCAGGCCTATGGGTTATGAAGCTCTGCAAGGTCTGTCCCCACCATGTGTCCTCAGTCCACAGCTCGACTCTTTACTCCTCCCCTTCCACCTACACTGGCTCTGTCTTCCTAGAACAACACACCCTAAAATATGGCCACCTCAGGGCCTTTGCACTGGTGGTTCCCTTTATCCGGACTGCCCTTGGCCAGAGGGCTACATGGCTCAACCTGCTCTAGAGCTTTGCTTAAGTGACATCCCCTTGGTGAGGCCTCCTGACCTCAGAGATGTCACACATGCGTGTTGTGACGCTCCCTTCCTGATTTATTTTTCTCCACGGTGCTTCCGTCCGCTGACAAACTGGACATTTCACCTATTCATCTTGATGAGTGTCTGCTTTTCCTCACCAGGAAGAGCTCCGGAAAGGCAGAGATGTGTCTCTGTATTATCCCGCTATGGCCCAGCTGCCTAGCACCTGTAACGTGATCCTCCAATGCTTTACTGTGTCTTTTGCCTCACCCACAGGAAAAGCAAAAGGCTCTTCCAGACCTGGGGGCAGAAACTCCCCCATTTGCCCCTCCACAAATGCGCACACCCTTGAGCTGGTCCCTGCAGAAACAGATCCTATAACGATCAAAAGAATTAAATTTATTTTTCAGACAACATGGTTCATAGTATTGAGTGGTGGGCATTTAGGGCCTCTACGACAGGGAATGCCGGGCTTAGGTGCCAAGGAAAACTCTTCACAGTGACTCTCAAAGACGACCAGTGGCATCAGCACCTGGCAGAACCTCTGACCGACCGTCCAAGACCCTTTACTTCTTCTTCTTCTTTCTGCGACCCCAGCGCTGTGGGCCAGCCTTCCCCCTTCCTCCGTCTTCCCTTCGGCTCTGCCAGGCAGGCATGGCCGCCTCCAGCGCATCTGGGCGCCCCCCGCGGTCTGGCACATCACCCATAAGCACCTGAGAATTGATTAGACTGGAGTCTCAGTAGGTAAAAAAGCTGGGTGCGCTCATGCAAACTGCCACCCTAGCATTTGGGAAGTAGAGGAAGATTGGGAGTTTGAAGCCAACCTCTTGGCTACATAGTGGGTTAGAAACAGGTCTAGCCTGGGCTACATGAGACTTTATCCTTCCAACCCGCCCCCACCAAAAAAAAAAAAAAAAAAAAAAAAAGAAGAAAGAAAATTTCCCTCTAACTGCTATAGAGAATGGTTAGTCTGAGACCAGTTGGGTCCAGAGGCAAGGAACCATGGAGAACACTAGACCAGGAGAAACTCCAGAAGGCCAATCTGAAGGCCAAGGATGCCCAGACTGTCCCCTGCCCGATGTATGCCCACCTTGTTGATGGCACAGCTGGTCCCTTGGCGGGCAGCCACACTGGTAGCTGGGACCAGACGGGAAAGGTCAGCTCGAGCAGCCAGAACATGTGCGACAGAGACATCAGATTCTGGAGTCAGAAGTCCTCGGATTGGGAACAGCACTGCCTTCATGGCCTCTCCTTGGCCCTGGAGTAAGGGGAAGGGCATCCATGGAGAAGGTGCCCAAGAGCTCATCTCCACTCAGGGTCTCTGTATGCTCCAGAGGGGGTTTTCTTCAAGGTACACGTGCTGTAACAGACAGCTGAGTATGGTGGCATAAGAACAAGTCATCTCAGCACAAGGGGAGTAGAGGCTAAAGGATCAGGAGTTCAAGGCTACCCTCAGCCACATGGCAAGTTAAGAGGCAAAAATAGGGCTGGAGAGATGGCTCAGAGGTTAAGGGCACCAACTGCTCTTCCAGAGGACTGAGTTCAATTCCCAGCAACCACATGGTGGCTCACAACCATCGTTATGAGACCTGGTGCCCTCTTCTGGTGTGCAGACATACATGGAACCAGAATGTTGTATATATAATAAATAAATAAAATCTTAAAAAAAAAAAAAAGAGGCAAAAACAGCCAGGTGGTGATGGTGCACACCTTTAATCCCAGCACCCGGGAGACAGAGGCAGGCAGATCTCTGAGTTCGAGGACAGCTTGGTCTGTTACACAGAGAAACCCTGTCTTGGGTCAGGGGTGGGGGGGTGGGGGAGGCAAAACCAAAATCTTTAAAATGGTAGACCATGTAAGAGATAGAACCTAGGTGACACTATCAAGATCAAAGGGCCGAAGACTTGGAGGAGACGCATGCAACTCCCACTACCTGCCCAGCTTGCAAGTGTAAGCCAAAAGGAACCTGATTTTCCTTATAAAGTACCCAGTTTCTGGTACTTTGCATTGGCAACATAAAACCAATTAAGATGGCCTTACTGTCCATTTTATTTCGCAGGGGAATAGTTCTGAGAACACTCCCAGCTGAGAGCTGGGCATTCTAGAATGTCCTGGAGGGCCTGAGAGTCTAGCAGTCTTGAACCCTGTAAGATTCTGAAGTGTGGACAAGAGAGATGGCTCGATAGTTAGAGAACTCACTGCTCTTGCAGGGAAGCAGAGTTAAGTACCCAGCATCCATAGGGTCTGATGCCCTCTCTTCACCTCTGCAAGAACACGTTGCACATACATACATACACACACGTATGTATAAAAAACACATACACATAAAATAAAAATGAGTAAATCCTTTTAAAAAAGGTTCTAAAGTGTGGCTTGTAAGAGAACTTACTGCTCTTCTAGAAGACCTGGCTTCAGTTCCCAGTCCCCACATGGGGGCTCACAACCATCTCTATCTCTGGTTCCAAGGGATCAGAGATACCCTTCTGGCCTCTGTGAATTTGGCACACACATGATGCTCGTACACATATAAGGAAAACACATCAAATCAAAAAATAAAAACTTAAATGATTCTGAAGCGGTCTGGGCCTTGGCATCCCCAG